TACCTTACAAATCTGCCTAGACCAGAAGATGTACATTGGTACAGATAGGAACTGGAAACACAGGGACTCCAGGGTGGATGATCCCTTCAGGACCAGTGGTGAGAGCAGTGATACCGGGAGGGTGGAGGAAATTTGGTTAAATTCTTACAGAATAAATTACCAACGAATGAATCCAGGGCTCCTCTCATTTCCTGTTAGGAATGTCAATGCAAGTAATTTAGAAATCCCTGCCCATCCCTAAGCTAGATGCTGGATTGGTGTGCCTACTTGCATCTGCATTAAGTAGGGTAGTCACAACAGCTCGGACTTAAAGACCCCAATCAGCAACTGTTCAACACAACAGACGTTTACTTTCCCTCATATAACAGGTTGTGGGTAGGTGCATAGGTCAATAGGGCAGAGTTTTTCTCCACCGGAGAACCTTCCATGTTGTCTGTGTCTCCCAGCAAATCTGCTTCAAACGGGCACAAAGGAACTGCGGTGGAAGTTTTCCTGGGCCAGGCCTGGGCAGTGTGCAGTCTTTTCTACTAATTTTCCACTGCAATGAGCAGAGGCAAATGGCTGCATCTATTGTCAGGGAGCTGAGGGATGCCGTCTATGCAATTTCTGCCATAATCCTATCAAACTACCTACTTGACCTAACCCCTAGCTCAGTGGTTCTCAACCTTCCTAATGTCGTGCCCCTTTAATACAGTTCCTCATATGGTGGGCACCCCCAACTATGAAGTTATTTTCGTTGCTACTTCATCACTGTCATTTTGCTACTGTTATGAATTGTCATGTCAATATCTGATATGCAGGATGTATTTTCATTGTTACAAATTGAACATAAAGTACAGTGATTAATCACAAAAACAATATGTAATTATATATTGTAAACTATTTATTTTTAATTACAAATGAAATTTTTTCTTGAAGCATGGTGTAGCATGGGTAACAGTCTTAATATAACAACAGTAAACTACATTGCTACATTTTGCAACAGTATGGGTAAAAAGCCAACATCAGTTCAAAGG